CCTCTGATGCTGCTTGGCCTGCTGTGTTCATCCAGCTCTATACCTTGTTATCTCAGATTCTCCAGCATCTGCAGTTCCTACTGTCTCCAGAACCCTGGACAGTTCCTCCTAGACATGTATGCAAGATCACATCGAGTTATTACAACAGATCCCACGACCCACTGAGTCCATGTGTGTTAGCAGTGCCAGGAGTGGGATTCAATCCAACATCTCCTCAGGAGACTGAGACCTGATTGCATGGCCTTACACCATTTGGCTCAGAGCTTTCCACTAATCTATTCGCCCTCCTCCGATCAGGAACTGGTTTACCAGCCCCTTTAGAGTCAGCATTGACCATACCAGCAGTTAGTGTATTCCAGAGGCACTCCCTCCTCTGATGGAAGGAGTAGGGCCCCACACCTCGTCTGTTCCCACTTTAGAGTTGTCTACAAGCAGATGGCCCACACAGAGTGGGTGAAGGCATTGTCATAGCCGTAATGTCACTAGATTGGTCATCCAGTGGCTAATGCTGTAGGGACACTCGTTCAAATCCCACCACGGTGTCTGGTGGAATTTAAATTCAATTAACTAATAAAAGCTGAAATTGCAAGCTCTTCTCAGTAATAGTGACTGTGAAACTATTACTGATTGTGTTAAAAACTCAGCTGGTTCACTAAAGATTTTTGGGAATGAAATCTTACCTGGGCTGTCCAACATATGACTCCACTTTGACTTTTTCCCGCAGTGAACCCATTTTAAACTTGGAAATTTTCACAACTCCTGAGTGAGAATCAGAGGGAAGTATGGAGGGAAGGGGGAGGCGAGTGAGGAGTAGAGTTAGGGGAAGGAGTGATGTGGTAAGTCGGGAGGGGGGGCATAACTAATCTAACTTGTTTGGCGTTCCTCATGGTGGCTCTTTGTGCCTCATAGCTTGCAGCTATTTATTGGACAATAAATGTTGGTGACACCCACATCCCATGAACGTGTAAAGACAGAAGTCCTGCTCTCACAGTGACCCCCGCGATCCATGGACTCGGGACAGGCCGGAATTGACCTTTGAGATTTTGCTTGTTGCAGCTTGACACTGCAGTACCAGATAGCCCTCCCACTCAGTGAAACCAGGGGACTGCCGCATTAGATCTGGCTTTAAGTAGACTAAAAGAGCAGTGAGAAGAAAAGATAGTGGATTAATTGGTGGGAGGTGTGAAGTTTTGCCCACACCACCCCTCCCAACCACGACCACCACTGCCACCATCCAGCTGGTCTCCAGCTGCTGGGGCCCGACAGAGAGGCCTGAGCTCGGGGCCTGTGGAGCTGCTTTGTTTTGAAGCTGACGCGCTTCTCTTGACGTACTTTCCCCCAGTGGCAGCAGCAGTGATTAATGCGCGTGTCTGTGCAGTCACCCTCCAGCACTAATGCAGCACGTGTGTCTTCTCTCTTCTCCTTCCAGTTACCTTGGTGACGGGCGCTTCCACCTGGAATCCATCATGATCGCGAACCCCAGTGTCCCGGCCTACAGGTGAGTGAGAGTGCACCGGCAAGGTCAAAAATCTCACAGAAATATGCCTTTTCAAAAGAAATGCATGGTTTTACACTGCTATCCCCCTTCAAAGTAATGGGTTGTAGCATTTGAATTGTCTGCACAGCTTCTCTTGTAGGTGTTGGTCATTAGCTACAAGTTTCCTTTGTGTCAGGTCAGATTTAGGGCACAGGTTTGTGTCTTTGAACGGCTTGAATTGTACTCAGAAGGAAAGGCTAGCACTGATATTGTACCTTGCTGCACATCACAAAGAATAATATAGCCACATGCTTTGGGAGCAGTATATTTAGCGATTACAATCCCCCGAAGTCAAATGATTGCCTCCACCTTTCAGAATTTCGGGTGATCAGTCGGCCATTTCGCCTGAAAAGGAAACTCCCCTCAGTAAGGTGCAGCCTTGGGTGTGAACAATGAATGACTTTGATGACTGCTTATTGGAGAAGCATGTGGTGTTAGGGCATGGTAAGATCCCACCAGGCGTGGTCTAGGCCCGAAACGTCAGCCTCTCTGCTCCTATGATGCTCCTTGGCCTGCTGTGTTCATCCAGCCCTGCACCTTGTTGTCTGTGATGACACATAGGTCCTGTTTGGCTCTTGTCTGATATTGTTTGAAGGAGCATTGTAACACCATAACAAACCAGAACAGCAGGAGGCCATTCAGTCCCTTGAGCCTACTCCACCATTCTGTAGGATTATGGCTGATCCAACACTCCTCATGCCCCTTTCCTGTCTTTTCCCTGTAACCCTTGACTCCCCTGTTGATGAAGAATCTACTTATCTCTGCCTTAAATATACACAAGGACTCTGTCCCTACAATCCTAAAGAAGGCCCTCTGTCCTGAAGAAGGGTTGACTGCTCCTTTCCTCCAGACGCTGCCTGGCTTGCTGCATTCTTCTAGCCTCCTGTTTATCTACCTGTCCGTACAGCCATCTGTGGCAAGGAGTTCCAAAGACTCTCAAACCCCTCAGAGAAGACATTCCTCCTCACCTCAGTTTTAAATTGATGCCCCTTTATTCTGAGACTGTGCCCTCTGATCCTAGACTGTCCAATGAGGGGGAAACATCCTCTCAGCATTTACCCTGTCAAGCCCCTTAAGAATCCTGTATGTTTCAATGAGATCACCTCTCATTCTTCTAAATTCCAGTGAGTAGAGTCCCAACCTGTTCTGTCTTCTGGGTCCCGTAAAGTCAAAATATTTTCACGCAACACCACCATTTGCCTCAGTTTTCAAGAAGGGAGCAAGAGATAAACCAGGAAACTACAGGCCAGTCAGTCTAACCTCAGTGGTGGGGAAACTATTGGAATCAATTTTAAGGGACAGAATTAACTTGGAGAGGCAGGGATTAATCAAGAACAGTCAGCATAATTTTGTTAAGGGGAACTCCTGTCTGACCAACTTGATTGAATTTTTCGAAGAGGTGACCAGGTGTGTAGAAGAGGGAAATGCTTTTGACATAAATCTACTTCAACTTCAGCAAGGCTTTAGATAAGGTTCCACATGGGAGACTGACAGCAAAGGTAAGAGCTCATGGGCTCCATGGAAATTTGGCAAATTGGGTCCACAGTTGGCTGAGTGGCAGGAAGGAGAGGGTGATGGTTGAGGGTTGTTTTTCCTGACTGGAAGTCTGTCTCCAGTGGGGTCCCACATGGGTCAGTGTTGGAGCCTTTGCTGTTTGTGGTTCATATAAAGAATTTAGACATGAATACATTCGAGTTGATTGGCAAGTTCACAGATGTGACAGAAATTGTTGGGGTGGTAAATAGTGAGGAGGATAGCCTTAGATCACAGGAAGATATCGATGGGCTGGTCAGTGGCAAATGGAATACAATCCAAATAAATATGAGGTGATGCACTTGGGCAGGACAAACAAGGCAAGGGGTTACACGATGAGGGGTTGGACCCTGGGAAGCACTGATGATCAGAGCAACCTTGGTATCCATATATACTGGCCCCTTAAGGTATCAGGACAGATAGATATAGTGGGTTAAAAAGGCATATGGTATACTTGCCTGTGGTAGTTGAGGCATAGAGTTTAAGAACAGGGAGCTTATGCTGGAACTGTATAAAACATTGGTTAGCCCATAACTAGAGCGTTGTTTGCAGTTCCGGAATCGGCATTCCAGGAGAGATGTGACAGTGCTAGGGAGGGGCACAGGAGATTTACCTGGGCTGGAGAGTTTCAGTTATGAAAAGAGTTTGGACAGACCGGGTCTGTTTTCCTCGGGGCAGAGGAGACCAAGAGGGAACGTGATTGAGATTTATAAAATGATGAGGGACGTAGATAAACAAGAAGATGGAGGGATCAGTGACTGGGGGGAATAGGTTTAAGGTAAGGGGCAGCTAAGGTTTAGAGGAGATGTGAGGAAAACCTTTTTTACCCAGAGGCTGGTGGGAATCTGGAACTCACTGCCTGTTGGAGGTGGTAGAGACAGAAACCCTCAGAACATTGAAGAAGTATTTAGATGTGCACTTGCGATGCCAAGGCATACAAGGCTATGGGCCAAGTGCTGAGAATGGGATTAGAATGGTTAAGTGGCTGTTTTTGACTGGCATGGACACAGTGGGCCGAATGGCCTTTTTCTGTGCTGTAGATCTCTTGCTTGGTTGCCTTGCTTCTTTGAGAAGGAGTCATTGGTGCTCTGGCCACTGCCCAGCACGACGTGTGAGAGAGAGCCATGGACTTTCTGGATCAAATGGCTAAAGCATTTCCACAGGCGGCTTGTCCTCTGTCCTTGGCCTGCAGTAAGGGATGTGGCCTTCTGTGATTCCTTACTCGCTTGAATTGTACTGGGAGTGATGCACCTCGGTCTGAACCCCTTATCCTGTCGCTGCTCTGAGAGAGTCCAATTAGATACTTTTGCTGTACCAACCTCAGTTTAGGCCAAGGTAGACTCCCAGCCCCGTGGCTGTGCTCAGGAGTTCCTCCCCAGGCGGGTGTCGCTTGCTGACAAACCGTCCCTGTATGCACAGTTTGTGTTTGCACAGCATTCTGATTGTTGTGGTTTGTAACAAAACTGCTGTGCCTGAGAGCTGCTCATTATTCAGAAACACAGCACGACAGTTCTGAGGATAATAGGATCAAGGTCAAGAAAATACACGAGGTCAGTTCTGAACTGGGCAGGTGGGGGTGAAAGAGAAGTACACAAACTGGGTATGTGAGAGACACACACACACACACACACACACACACACACACACACACACACACACACACACACACACACACACACACACACACACACACACACACACACACACACACACACACACACACACACACACACACACACACACACACACACACACAACTCCCACAGGGAGTGAGAGAGAGAGAGACACACGCACACACACACCCCACCCCCATAGGGAGTGAGAGAGAGAGACACACACATACATACACACACCACCCCCCACCCCCACAGGGAGAGAGAGAGAGAGAGACACACACATACACACACATACAACTCCCACAGGGAGTGAGAGAGAGAGACATACACACTGGGAGTGAAAGAGCGAGAGAGAGACCCTCACATACACGCACATGCGCATGCACATACACTCACAGAGTGAGAGAGAGAGACACACACACACGCAGGGAGTGAGAGAGCACGAGAGAGACACACCCACACACATGCACACGCATATGGAGTGAGAGAGTGAGAGAGAGACACACAGACTGGGAGTAAAAGAGCGAGAGAGAGACTCACACACACACACACCCACATGCACACACACTCACAGAGTGAGAGAACGAGAGAGAGACACACACTAGGAGTGAGAGAGGCTCACACGCACATAAACTAGGAATTTGAGAGAGAGAGAGAAAGAGACATTAATATAAACTGGGAGTGAGTGAGAGAGACACAAATACAAACTGGGAGTGTGAGTGAGAAGAGAGAGAGAGAGACACACTCACACTGGGGGTGAGAGACACAGACCCACATACTCAGAGTGAAAGACATTTATACAGAATGGGAAAGGAAGAGGGAGTGAAGTAATCAAACTGGAAGAGGGAGAAAAAAACCCAATAGGAGAGAGATCAAGAGCCAGAGAGAGAGAGACACACTGGGAGAAGGTGAGAGAGAGATAAAACTGTAAGGGAGGAAGAGAGAAAAAGAAATTTGCTGAGGAAAACAACAGAAACTGAAAATTGAGGGTGAGTTCATGTCCATTTGCGATACATGATATTTGTGCTTTATTATGTTATTACCATGGAAACATCTTCAAACCGAGACAGTAGAAATGGTCTCGATATTTTACTGGCTTGTCAAAAGGTGGGACATATGAACTAGAAGCAGGAGTAGGCCATTCAGCCCCTCAAGTCTGCTCCGCCATTTAACACGATCATGGCTGATCTCATCTCGGCCTCAACACCACTTTCCTGCCCGCTCGCCATAACCCTTCAACCCCTTACTAATTAAGAATCTGTCTATCTCCTCATCCACTGCTTTCTAGGGTAATGAATTGCAACCCTTTGAGAGAAATAATTTCTCTTCATCTCTGTTTTAAATCTGCCACCATTTATCTTAAAACTATGACCTGTCATTCTAGATTCCCCACGATAAAAAGTATGGGCTTAAACTGCTCATCTCCTTTCATTTGACAACTCCCTTTACCTCTGGAATCAATGTAGTGAATCTCCTCTGATCTGCCTCCAATACACAAACTGAGAGTTCCCTTAAAGGGGAACAAAACTGTACATAATACTCCAGGTGCAGTCTCAATATGCCTTGGACAGTTGCAGCAATTCTTCTCTCCTACTTTTAAACTCCAATCCTTTAGCAATAAATCCCAAAATTCCATTTTCAGCAAACTGACAATACAGGACTCTCTCCCTCAGCACTGCATTCGAGTGTGAGCTTAGATTTTGTTATCATGTTCCTGGACAGGCACCTTTAACTGAAAAGAACTCCCAGACAAGAGTCTGCCACCACTTACATCTCAGCTGGCACCTTCAACCAGCAAGATGTAGTCAGCTT